TCACAAGACTGCCTGCCACTTGTCCAGGAGGCCATGGGCAGGCCCCAAGAATCTTGGAATTAAGTAGTGGCCTGCTGGAAGTGGTCATTTATCCCCCTAGGGGAGTAACTGCATCTTTAAGTGCACACGGATAAATGTCACACCTTGGTCTGAACACTACCCTAAACTCACGCCAGCTCTATTCAGAACTGGGAGAGAAGAGGGGGATGTCTGCATTACCTCTGAGAGGTGATTCTCCTCACAGAATCTGTATTTCAGTGGGTTCAATATGATAATTACAAATGGCGTTATCTGTTCTCAGGTCCCTCAAAAGCATGCTCAAAAGCATGCCTTCAGAGAGCCCATGTATAGGTGAGCAACAGAGATGGTTGCACTGTGCCAGCAGTTTGGGCTCTAGCTCCCTGATGTGCTGAAGATGCCAGAGACTGGACCTCAACCAGCTTACTGAGAAAACAGGATTATCTAAAACCTTGGAATGCTTCTCTGACCAGGTAGAAATTTACATTATTAGAAACCCCAAACAAAGTTTAACTTCTTTCAGATTGGACTTATATTCTTTCAACCTGGATACAATGGTGCAAGTCCATGGGTAGGCGAGTCCCTGCCTGGGCAGCAGTGTTTTCAGGCCATCCCTCAGAGTTGCTCCCTGCACTAGCTAAGTGGGTGCTGGCAAGCAGTCAGGGACCTTTTAGGAAGCTGCTTGTACATCTAATGAACTCGTTAGGATTTGCTCCTTTCCCTGTAGTTAAGTCAACAATCACAGTTGTTTTGCCACCTTCCCCCATGTTGTGATTCTTTTATGAAGCTCTCAGAGCTGTAGGAAACATGTGTTCTTAAAGAAACTGTATTCAAAGGGCACACGGCCCATAACTCTGACTTCAAAAAACTGCACAGTAGGATATAGGGTGTAGAGGTGTTACATGTGTTCCTGCTTCACACCACTACCTCCCCGCCTGGAAGATTCAGGGTGGACCATGAGACTCCCCAGAGGGCAATTTGAGGTGGAATAAATGGAGGCAGTGGTTTTTGTACTCTGGTTTTGAGTATGAATTATTAATTTGCCCTCTAGTGAGCCTGGCTTTTCTGTGCTGGTGTCCCACTGCGGAGCATCTTTCTTCCCTCTGCACGGGGGCAGGGCATGGGGAGTTGTGGGGTAAAAAAAAAGCAGTGAGCAAACACAGGGGGATGTTCAGTCATTGCCCAAACTATCTATGGCCCAAAAAGGTTACGCAGGGAACAAAGGGAAGAAGTGGCTTGATAATGATGGAACAAGAGACTGTTCTAACAAGAAATAACTTGGGAGGAGCAGCAGCTGAGGAAAGGCCAGGCACCAAGGAGATGAAGCCATGCCAGTGCCAGAATAGCTGAGTCCGTTTCCTTTTTTTTTTTTTTTTTCTGAGTTGGAGTCTCACTTAGTCGCCCAGCCTGGAGTACAGTGGCCGCTCCTGGTCACCGCAGCCTCGACCTGCTGGGCTCCAGCAATCCTTCCGCCTCAGCCTTCCAAGTAGCTGGAACTACATGTGCGCGCTACCATGCCTGGCTAATTTTCTTGATTTATTGTAGAGATGAGGTCTCGCCAAGTTGCCCAGGCGGGTCTCAAACCCACGGGCTCAGGCAATCCACTCGCCTCGGCCTCCCAAAACGCTTGGATTACAGGCTGAGCCACTGAGCCTGGCCTAAAATGGAAATATTAATGGTTACTACTTGGCTATTACAACAATTAAATAAAAGGTTATCACACATGCAAAAGCGTGCTGTGCACCTTTCAGGGTTCTCATTGGGACACCAGGAGCCAAGAGGTTGAGAGGAGGACTGCCTGCCTCCCCCTTCTACTGGACTAAGAAGGTTGCATGAGCAGGGCTACCATTCCCGTCCTTCTTCTGGCAGCCAGCATAACCAAGGGGGCACTCCGTACCAACCAGTCAGTCACCTGGGTCTAATCCCCACTGCATGCAACCAGGGTAATGAAAAGCCTACCAGAATCACCTTTCTTTCTCAAGGTTTTTATAAATAATCTGGAGGCATCAGTGGGAGTGACTTACAGTACTGTTCTCAATTCCAGCAAGGGGTTGCTCCCTCCAAAAATCATCTCTAAGATTTACTAAGCCCAGATGCATTCGCAGGTGACACTAGGATGCGGTACCACGACAGTGGTCCTGAGTAATGTGCCTGCTGCCATTGCAATGCACTGGTTCACTCTACCAGGAGTGCATTCATCAGCTGCTACGCAACCATCAACCGAGCCATGACTTGCATCTGAGCTATGATTCAAACCTGTGTGGGCCTGTGACTGATCAGGAACTGTCTCCCTAGGTGATGACAGAGGATGACAACTCCAAAAGAGAAGGCTCGACCCTCCTTTGCTGGCTCCTCTTATGCTAACGATCAAGTAGGTGGATGTCACCCTCTATCACCTCTGCAAGGATCTAGCCTCTGACTGCCCAGCTAGAAGCTCCTTGAGCTCCCTGGTGGCAAGGACCAGGCTATGTCCCTCTTTTGTAGTTCCTGCAGTTCCCCAAATACAGTAAGCTCTCAAATTGATTCTCACCACCCAGGACACAGACATATTCCTTTCTCACTCTTCACTACTTCTCTTCATCTAGTTCTGCTGCATCTGCAACTATATTCAAATGATCTTTATCTCATGAGCCATGACCAATTATTTATCTATTTACTCAGACGTTTACTGAGTGTTTTTTATGTGCCAAGAACTATGCTAGACGCTGAGGAGGGGGTAAAATAAATGGCATCATCTCTGTTCTCAGGGAGCTCACACTAAAAATATGCAGGGAGCACAACCCTAGAAGGCTTATGGGGTGTGCATCGGTGGGACTAGATACGATCCTTGCCTTCATTATCTTTACACTTTGGGCCAGTGAAGGCCACCATAATGATGTGAGGGCCCTGAATATAGTGTAACCTGTGCCTCTCTCTCAGAAGTCCTTGGCCAGACTATCTATGCCACCACAGTCAGCAATCCAGTCCATTAGGTGGGCTGGGTTGGCTCTGTGTTGGGCTAAGTTGCAAAAAACAAAACAAACAAAAAATACAAAAACGCATGTTCCTGCTCTGAAAGGTTTTGGCTAAGTTTCACAAGTCATTGCTTCAGACTGTGTATGTATCTCATTTCATATCTCTGACCTCTTGTCTGAGCCCCAGGCTCAAATATACCATTGCCTACTTGACATTTCCACTTGGAAGTCAGTCCTCTTGGCATCTCAAGTTTAACCCAACACTAAACTCAGGATGTTCTTCCCACACCCCACCTGTTCCTCTTCTAGTCTTTCCCATCTCAGTAAGTGGCACCATCTTACACACACTTGCTCAGGCCAAAAAAATGTAGGTGCTATCCTTGGTTCCTCAGTTTCCCTTTAGGCTGCATCCAATACATCAGCAAGTTCTGTTCACTCGACCTGCACAAAACCTAAATCCAGTCACTTCCATCTCCTGTGCAGCCATCATCACCCAAGCCACAACCATCTCTTGCTGGGGGGCACCATAGTAGGCTTCTCTCCAGTCTCACTGTTTCTGTTTCTGCTTCCTACAACCTACTTGCTGCAGACAGCCACCGTGACCTTTTTATTTTTATTTACTTATTTGAGTTGGAGTCTCACTCCTTCGCCCAGGCTGGAGTACAGTGGCAGGCACGCTCACGGCTATCCCAGCGTCGACCTGGTGGGCTCTGGTGATCCTTCTGTCTCAGCCTTCCGAGTAGCTGGAACTACAGACTCGCACTAGCATGCCCGGCTATTTTTTATTTTATTGTAGGGATGAGGTCTCGCCAAGTTGCCTGGGCTGGTCTCGAACCCGCGGGCTCAGGCAATCCACTCGCCTCAGCCTCCCAAAGTGCTGGGATTACAGGCTGAGCCACTGAGCCCGGCCCACAGTGATCTTTTTTAAAAAAGACAGGGCACATCAGTCTCACTGGTCTTAGGATAAGATCTAACTCCTAATCAGAACCTTTAAGGTCCCACAGTGCCTGGCTCCTGACCTCCTCTATCCTCAACTGTTAGCAACTCCACCTTACTCACTACCCTCCAGCTGCTCCGGCATTCTCTGTTCTCTAGCATGTCAATTCGGCTTCCTGCCTCAGGACCTTAGCAGTGCCTGGAATGCTCTTCTCACTAAGTGTACATTGTTGGCTTATCTTCTTCCCTTAGGTCTCACCTATGTGTCGTCTCCTCAGAAAGGCCTATGTTATTAATGTTTTCCTTTTACCATGCTACCCTATTTTATGTCCATCAGACATCTTATCTGTCTTGTGTGTGTCTACATGTTTACTGTGTCCTGAACTAGGATGTCAAACTTCTTCACGTGTGCAGGATGTCATCTGTCTAATTCACTGTGTCCCTAGCACCTAGACTAGTTCTTGGCAGTGGTAGGTGCTCAATAAACACGTGCTATATGAACGAATGAATCCCAGAGCTGCAACGCCAAACTGGAGGAAAGCCAGAACTAGGCCTACTACTCAAACACAGGGGCATGAGTTGAGGACCCAAACACGCTGCAGAGGCTTATGGTGGACCAAGAAAGCAAACGCGTAGCGGGGGCCCTGCAGATACTTGGGATCAGCTCGGTCAACGCACAACACTGCGAGGTAATGGGACCGTGAGAGCAAAAAGCCTGACGCTGCCATCACCTGCGACGGTTGCTGCGGGCCTCAATTCAGCTTGCATCTTGAATCACCTGCAGAGCTTTTTAAAAATACTGAGGCAAGACCTCATTCTCCGAGATTCTGAGTCCATAGGGTTGCGTGGCTCCAGACATCTGGATTTTTAAAAAGCTTCTTCGGTAATTTCAAGGTGCAGCCGGGTGAGCGCGCTGAGCAGGAAGGGGCGTCGCTCTCAGCAGCTCCCCCGAGGATCTAGGGGCCGCGCGCACGTGCAGCCTGGGGCGGAAAGGCGCGCTCGCGGCGCGGATCCAGCCGCTAGCCCACTCGCAGGCCCCGCCCCTGCCTCGTCCTTTCCTCCCTCAGCCCCAACCGCCTCCCCGCCGGTCACCTGGGTGTTCTCTCCCTCCCGAAAGGCCTGTGCTACCCGCTGGCGCAGGTAAGTGCCCAAGTCCCGGCCCCGTTTGGTCTCGTCCACTGGCCACTCCTCACACAGCTTAAGAAAACGCCGGTAGCGACTGGCCGCCATCTTGGGCCCGGCTTGTTCCCGCCCCAGAAGGAGGAGGTGGTGTGGAAATGTGGCGCATGCGCACTAAGGCTCGCCCCCCCCCCCGGCCCAAGGGGGTGGGGCCGGAGACAGGAGTGGGCATGCGCGGCTTCGTGGGCTTCCCGCTGCTCTCCGGGTAGGGGCGCTGCTAGCCTGTGTCTGCAAAGCCGAGCTAATTCAGTTTTTGTCCTCCTGGAACTGGCCCAGCTCCCAGGGGCAAGGCAGACGTGGAGTACCCCAGGGACAACTTTGCTTCTCTTTTTCAATGACTGCACAAGCTTAAGACTAAAAAACCCTCCTCCGAGACCTCTGCTGTTTTGCATAAGCCAGTACATTTGCATGTAAAAACAGGTTGTTGCTGGATGAAGATGTGTTTGAACTTAATCACGGAGCACGCTCATGTTCTCACCGCCCCCCCTCCTCCTCACTTCTCGCCCCCCACTCGTTCCTCCTCACAGCTCCTGTATCTGTCACTACTACTTGGTACTATGCCACAATTCCTTCTTTAGTGCTCCGCATTTCTTGTCTCTCTCCAGCTCCTATTAGTGTCCCTTCTATGTGACCCTCTGCCCCTACCCTACCCCCCACCCCTATTCTCCTAAAAGTCAGGCACTTTCTTCAAGAAAGCACAGGTTTTGTTTCCTGAGCATTATCAGCTAGATTGATTCAGCCTACAAAACTCTTTTTATGTTATTATTTTTGTATGTGGTGACATACACATAAAATTTACCATTTTACCCTTTTTTTTTTTTTTTTTTGGAGTTGGAGTCTCACTCCGTCACCTGACTGGAGTGCAGTGGCACGCTTCTGGCCACCGCAGCCTCGACCTGCTGGGCTCTGGAGCTCCTCCGCCTCAGCCTTCCAAGTAGCTGGAACTACAGCTACTACCACGCCCGGCTAATTTTTGATTTATTGTAGAGATGAGGTCTCCCAAGTGGCCCCGGTGGGTCTTGAACCCACGGGCTCAGGCAATACACTCACCTTGGCCTCCTAAAGCGCTGGGATTACAGGCTGAGCCACCAAGCCCTGCCCATTTTAACCTTTTTTAAGTGTATAGTTCAGTGGTACTAAATACCACTGAATGCTGTGCAACCATCGCACTATCCATCTCCATAATAACTCTTCATCTTGTAAAATTGAAACTCTACACCCATTAAGCAATAACTCCCATTCTCCTCTCCCAGCTCCTAGCAGCCACCATTCTATTTTGTGTCTATGATTGAACTACTCTGGATACCTTATATAAGTGGAATCATACAGTATTTGTCTTTTTATGACTGACTTATTTTGTTTAGTATAATGTCTTCACATCAAGGTCCATCCATACTGTAGAATATGTCAGAATTTCCTTCCTTTTAAAGACTGAATAATATTCCATTGTGTGTATATACAACATTTTGTTTATCTATCCATCCATCCATCAACAGACTCTTGGGTTGCTTCTGTGTTTTAGCTATTGTGAAGAATGCTGCAGAACATATGCGTATGGATATCTGTTCAAGACTCTGCTTTCAGTTCTTTTGGTATATACCCAGAAGTGGGATTGCTGGATCATATGGTAATTCTATTTTTAATTTTTTTAGGAACTGCCATACTGTTTTCCACAGCAGCTGCACCATTTTACACTCCTACCACTAGTGCACAGGAGTGCCAATTTCCCTACATCCTCACCAAAATTTGTTATTTTCTGGATTCTTGATGGTAGCCATCCTCATGGGCATGAGGCGGTTTATCATCTTAGCTTTGATTTGCATTTCTCTAATAATTAGTGATGTGAGCATCTTCTCATGTGCTTTTTGGGCATGTCTTCTTTGGAGAGATATCTGTTCAAGCCCTTTGCCCATTTTGGAATTGGGTTTTGTGTGTGTTACTGAGTTTTAGGAGTTCTCTATATATTCTGAATATTTTCTCCCATTGAAACTAGTTTGTTTTACCAAGTCTTCTCTTATACATCTCGAATGATATCACCATGTGGACTTGTTCTTTTCCAAAGATTGCCCTACCATCTGGGTTTTCCTTAAGAAAGCTGCAACCCCCTCTGCACCTTCACTGTCCTATATTCAGCCAAGACCAGGCCAACTCATGGCCCAGGACTGGTAGTAATACAGCCTCACAAAATCTTTTAACATCATGTGTTTTTTAGCATTTGTTTTCTTTGTGACCCCATGCATATATATATATACACTAACTATATTATATAATTTATGTGCAGCCTAAGACATCCTCTTAATTCCATGCAGCTCAGGGAAGCCAAAATGTTGGACATCCCTGACCAAGACCATCCCATACATACAAACAAGCCTCTTCCTTCTTGTTCTCCCTACTTTGTAAAGGTGAATCCAGGAGAACCCTGCATTCAAGAAGTTGGCTGCCAGATCTGGGCATGTGTACATAACCAGGGCACAAAGCTAAACACGACAAGGGCTTTAACTGAAATATAGGCAGGGTTGGAGAGTTCAAAATATCACATTGGGCTCTTCAGGGGAGAGTGGGAGAAAGGTCAGGGATGGCTTCTAAGAGCTGCAAGGGGCAGGCCTAGGGCAGGAATGGGCAAGAGAGGAGGAGGGAGGAGTTTCATTTGAGGAAAGAATCAAATTGGTTTTAACCAGCATGGCTTTTAACTATTCCAAAGATGTTAGGAGTAAACCATTGAAAGGAACCTCTGGGAACCCAGAGTGTGTGATGCCCACCTGAGGTAAGGAAAGCTCAGAAGGAGTGGAAAACGAGCCCCTCGAGGTCAGTCACCACCTCCAGACAGCCTCCCTGATTAGCCCCACCAGGTTCCTAGCCCAGCAGTACCTCCCTGCTGCACTCTCTTCAGCTGTGTTTATAGCCACAGAGTTTTGGTGATTGTCCTGGGGCCCAAAAGGCAAGGATTGTGTTGATGTACTTATGAAGCTCCAGACACCTAGAGCTGTGCTGGGTGCCCTGAGGCCTTAGAATTCTGCCTGAGGCCCCACCACAGCTGTGGCTTTGAAGAGCGCCTGGCTGGCCGACAGCTGCTCTGAGTGGCAGGAACCGAGGTCCCTCTTCCTTAGGCAATAGCAAGAGTAACATTAAGTGTCAGCAAATGGTTTTCCTGCCACTTGAGAGTCAAGTGCAGAGGAGTTGAGAAGAATGGCTGGATGCCAGGGGAAGCGTGAACAAATGCCCCCTTCTAAGGTGCTCTCTTCCTCTGGACACCAGCTTCTGGGTCAGGTTGTGGTTTTCCCTGATGCCGATTGCCTGCTTACCTCTCTCCCAACGTCTAGAGGCTGCTTGGCATGGTGGTCAAGTAGTGAGACTTTAGAACCTGTCAGACCTGGGTTGGAATGTGGGCTTGTTCATTCATTCATTCCCTGGTCTATAGCCCTGATCGCTCTGTCTATACAATTTTCTGGGGCCCCATGCAAAATGAAAATGTGAGGCTCCTTGTTAAACATTTGTTAAAGGCTGGGCGCGGTGGTAAAAGCTGGTAAAAGCCTATAATCCCAGTGCTTTGGGAGACCGAGGTGGGAGGCCCACTTGAGACCAGGAGTTGGAGACCAGCCCAGGGAACTTAGTGAGACCCCATGTCTTTTTGTTTGTTTGGTTGGTTGGTTTTGTTTTGTTTTGAGTCAGAGTCTCATCGTCACCCAGGCTGGAGTGCAGTGGCACACTCACGGCTACCGCAGCCTCGACCTGCTGGGCTCAGGCGATCCTTCTGCCTCAGACTTCCAAGTAGCTGGAACTACAGGTGTGTGCTACCACACCCGGCTAATTTTTTGATTTATTGTAGAGATGAGGTCTCACCAAGTTGCCTGGGCTGGCCTCAAACCCCTGGACTCAGGCAATCCTCTCACCTCGGCCTCCCAAAGTGCTGGGATTACAGGTTTGAGCCACTGCACCTGGCCAACCCCCATGTTTAAAAAAAAAAAAGGTTAAGGATTTCAAGACAGTAAAAACAGATTATTAAGGTAAGTGTGGGCCCTTTTGCATGTTGGGCCCTGGGTGACTGTGCAAGTCAGGCACTCCTGAAGCCAGCCCTGAGCTCCTCTCATGTAGTGGACAAGACAGATGAGGGCTTCTGTGGGCTTCTGTTGAAGAGTCTGGAGACAGACAACAGCCAAGCAAACATGCAATCAAATGGGCTAAGGGCCAGGGAGATATCAAGGCAGGGTGCTGGATCTCTGGTGACTGGGGCAGGGATGGGGTCGGGTTGCCTGGTGGTCTCCATTCGGTGGGCATGAGAGGCTTCCAGACAGAGCAACAGCAAACGCAATGACCTTCGGAGCAGGTGACCCGGAGGGGTGGTATTTCATTGCTCTACATTTCAGTTTCTTCATCTTAGAATGGGAATTATGATGATAAATTAACACTAAGTGTTGAGAATTGTATCGGGCACAATTCTAAATACCTTACACATATCCACTCATTTAGTCCTCACAATGGCTCTCAGACATGAGTGCCACTGTTATCCCCATTTTTACAGAAGTGGAAACTTAGGCACAGAGAGGCTAAGGTCACCAGCCAGTAAGTGACAGAGGCAGGACTTGAACTCAGACTGAGTGACTCCAGAGCCCGTGCCCTTACCCACCCCATCAGGTGCCTCTTTGCAGGGTAAACCATGTGCATGGTGTATTTACATACATGTTAGAGCCTTGGCTTGTGCTCGCAGAGCAGGCCAACACATTGTGGTGGTTTTACTGATGGTTGTCTAGGTCCCCTCTTCTTTTCCCTGTGCCTGTGGGTGGTTTGATCCAGCCTAGGCTCACCAGTTTGTCAATCACCCAGTGCCATTCTGGGCACATTAATAGGCATCGCCTGGGATGCAGCTAGGTGGTGCCAGCCCCTGGGGGGTTGATGGCCATCTTAACACCCACCTGCCGGCTGTCACTCACTCCACACTGAATGCTGCCTCCCCTAGCTCACTGAAAACTCCCACCCAGGCTGCACCTCTGAGCCATTTGGAATGGGTATTTCGGCTTTATGGAGCCCTGATGGCTCTTTCTTTTTCTTTTTCTTTTTTTTTTGAGTTGGAG